GAAAGGTCTCAAAGTTCAAAAGCACAACACTCACTAGATACCACGGATCCTTGTGTGTGTTTGTCAAGGCATACTGACCTGCATTTGTAAAAGCATGCAGCCAGTTGTTTCTAGCACTCATACTGTATTTGTGAGCATGCCCACATGTGTCTGTATAGCACAAAGCAGTCTGCAGTGATTACTGTACCCAAGCAGCTGCAAGCTGCCGTTAGAGATCAGCGTTAATTACACAGCAGCCCTGATCTGCCGCCTTCCTCTAAAGAGCCCAGCTTAAACTCCCATCAGACCACTGCAGATTCAGGCCATGTGAGAAGCTGCTGGGATGCTGGGTATGATTACACTCTTGTTCTGTGTAACTTATCCTTCACAAAGAACAGCAAGGAAGAAGGATGTTTGAGGTAGATACCTCTCAGCTGGATTTTTTTTTTTTGTATTATAAACTTATATCAGTCTATATCATATCAATATCAATATACTATTATATTTTTAATTAGTTTTTATACCATTTTTATTTTAATTTTACAAATTTTTGGTTTTTAAAAAATACGTTTTTTTCACTTTTAGTTTATTTATTTTATTACTTCAAGTTAAACTAAAAGAAAATGAGAAATGATGGCTTTGAAACTATAGCTGAAATAAAATAATGTATATTCTTATACATATATTTTTATTTTATTTCAGTTAATGTTGTTTTTTTACGGTTTTAATTTTAGTTAATGATAATAACCCTGATCAGCATAGCATAATAGTACTGCAAATATTTGATCATATTGTGTGACATTTCAATCGGTAACACATGCAAACACACAGCCAAGCTTGTTGGTGTATTTGTAAAACTTGACTTTTTCAATATTTTTTTTCTCCATTCTTACTTTCAGTTGCTCATATTTTATTTTGTAATGTAATTATTTTATTTGTATTTAAATGTATTTTGTATAATTGATCAAATATTAATTATTTTATTTTGGATTATTTACTTTATTAATTGCCATTTTTTAGGACTAAAAATGCATCAGTATTGATCATAATGCTGAAGAAAATATAGAACTATTGCTTTTCACCAAGGCACTACAAATTTTGATTTTATTTTAGTTCAGTTACATACATATAATTCATTTTAGAAGTTAATGAAATGCCACATATTACCTCAAATTTTGGGTCTTGTTGTTGGAGAATCAGAGGACATATTGTGAGGTCATTTTGGCCCTGACAGCTATAGCGAAACAAGTACAAACATTCACATTTGTATCTTCACAGATCTTAAAATCCCAAAGCAGGTGTATTTGCAGGGGGTTTCATGCTGAGTAAGCAGCCAGTGGATGACTGTGCTATCTCATCAGCTGTTGGTGATAACTGTCGGTTTTCCTTCTCAGATTTCACTCTCCCACACCTGTTCTCGCCCCTGGCCCACCGCCCCGACATGCCCTCCACCTTCCCTTATGGTCGCAGTATGTTTACTGTAGTCGAATCCAAGATCAGGAAGATGAGCTCTCAGGTTTCAACGGACAGTTATGCATGGCGGTTCTCGCCAAACTGATTATCTCCCGAGATAAAAACAGTTCCTTTGTGAGCAATAGAGTGAGATATTCCTCATCTTATACCTCCCTCTCTGTGTCCCTTGGCTATTTTTATTAGTAGTTCCCTTTGTGCCAGCAGCCCCTGGTTCAGATAGCTTTAGAGGTAGTGTGTGTGTGTGTGTGTGTGTACAGGGAAACTCATAAATAACAGAGAGACTGACGATGACCCCTAAGGCGGTGCAAATCAGACCGGCTTTCCCGGGAATGGAGTCCTGTACACTAGTCCATTCTTTCGAATGAAAGACCTCTCCGTGTACAATTATTATCGGGTCTGCTGCATTCCAGCACTAAGTTGGCCAGAAAAACACAGCAGTTAAGCTGAATCAAATTCCCTCAGAGCTAGTGAAGGGCTGAATTTAATGGGGCCCCTAACAGACGAGTCAACAGAATGGGTCAGCAGTTGTCGTGACCCCTTGGCTCTTGTAGCCAACCACACTGGGACTCAGGAACATGAAGCTTTTATGATCCTTTCAGTGCTCAACTGGTCTCCATTGAGGTTCTACTACGGCCCTCCCATTTCCCACAAACCCTCCCAAAAGCCTTATCAAGGCATAATGTAGGGGGTTGCGCACAACATTAACCCCTGGGGCAAAACAAACAGAGATGGCCACGATGACGTCGTTTTATAAGAACACAGCGATTCAGAATTGTAGACTTGCTCATGTCTGTATTGTTAATGAAGTGTATCATAGTTTTGACTCACTTTTAAAAGGACAGTCATACAGGTTTGGAACATCATGAGGGTGAACTATCCCTGGTGTAAGTTTGTATTTATGTTTCGCTGACCAGTATTATGGAAGCTTATTTCCATTACGGAATAAAAACTAAAAAAGGTAATTGCGACTTTTTTCTTGCAATTTCAAGTTTATACAGTTATCTCAAAATTCTGACTTTTTCTCATAAATCTGAGTTTACATTCATGATTCTGACTTTTTTCTTAGAAGTGTGAGTTTACATTTCATGTTCTGACTTATTTGTCAGAACTTAGTTTATATCTCACAATTCTGACTTTTTATTAGAATTCTAGGTTTACAATCTGTGATTGTGACTTTTTTTTCTCAGAATTTTGAGTTTACATTTCACGATTCAGACTTTTCCTCAGAATTCTGAGTTTATATTTCTTGATTCTGACTTTTTTTTCTCAGAATTCTGAGTTTATATCTCGCGATTCTGATTTTTTCCCCCCTGAATGCTAGGTTTACATTCTGTGATTGTGATTTTGTTTCTTTCAGAATTCTGAGTTTACATCTCACAATTCAGACTTTTTCCCAGCATTCTGAGTTTACATCTTTTACATCGATTCGGACTTTCTAAGCAGAATTCTGAGTTTGCATCTCGTGATTCTGACTTTTTTCGCCCATTCTGAGTTTACATCTCACAATTCTGTTTTATTATTTCTCTGAATTCTGAGCATGCATGCAGTCAAGTCAGGTCAGCTCAGGTGTACAAAAAAAAACAGAACTGTGAGCTGAACTCAGAATCCAGGGAGAAAAAAAAGTTAGAATTGCAAGATGTTAACTCAGAATTCTGAGAAAAGAATTCTAATAAAAGTCTGAATTGTGTCCAAAAAAAGGAAAAAGAAAGAAGCAATAACATTTGTATATTTTTATTCCATGGTGGAAATAAGCTTCATGACTTCAGATGCGAGAGCCGTCTCTAAAATTCCCCTAAAAAAAAAGGTAATCAGACCACACATTTGAATGCAAAATTCATATTGGTTACAATGCAAACTAAACTCAGAGCAAACTGCACGAATGTCACGTTGTACTACATCCACTGATCATATCAGCACATTATGGATATTCAAGAAAATGCAAATCTGTTCGATTTGTGAAACAAAGTTATTTTGTTTATATGAACAGTAAATTTTTGTTTAATTTTTTAGTTTAGCTTTATCTTATAATAATGTACAAGAGAAATGGCACATCTCCATCTAATGCTCTTCAGCGGAGACAGGCAGGCGCAGGGCATTGCCCACAGGGGCCACACATGCAGAGCGCTCATTGATTGGGTTCAGCTCTTCACGAGCATTACAGTGCTATATGATGGAATGAGTTTAGTGAATTATGCTCTTTTTTGACCATAGATGATGTGCTAATGCTACAAGCTAAATTAGGTTGGGAGTTGATGGTTTGATTGTCCCAGCAATGGTTTTCTAATTGGATATCCTCTTTATTCTCTGTTGCAAAGCACTCAGAAATGACTGAGGGTGTTGTGCATTATCATGCCTTGAAGTCTCTGATTAATCACTTTTTTTGACTAATCATGTTTACGTGAAATCTTTGTCCTGTGCCCGTTATGTGCGACACTATACACATCATTACCAGTCACTTATAATCAGTAATGGGCATACAAAGAAATTAATACAAGAAAATGACTCAACTATTTGGAAGCCAACTTCACACACAAATGATTCCCTGGAGGAAACTCTTCAGTGACAGACTTGTTGTTTGCTAGCAGGGAAAATCATAGCAATAAAAGAATATAAATAAAAATGAATAACTATGAAATGGCTACAAATGGGTTTTTTAAAAATAGAAAGCAAAATAATCAGACAACTTTAAAATAGAATTTATGGAATTTAGTGACATTGGTAATGTCAATCAAAATGAAAAAAGCAAAATTAAATAAAGAAAAATAGGAGCTGGACTGTTTTATATTTTATATTGACATAACTGCAAATGTACAACCACATTACAAGGCGATCATGTGATTCAGTCTCTGCTTCTTTCCATCACATCATATATTTCCTTTCAATTGACCTGCAGTGCTCCATTGTGAAGGGATAGTTTCATAATTTAGGTAGGGGGAATGCATAGCATGGCAAGTGCTTCCAAAAGCACATCTTCAACGCCATCTACTGGCTAAATTATATATAAATTATAATAATTACAATCTATATAAATAGGTATGCACATACTGGACTCACTACAGCTGTAGTTTCTTTTTTAAAGATTCTTTGTTCTAATAAGATATAGGCACAATGTAAAATGTGCTAGAATGTGCACTATCACGTCATCAAGAATTAATCCTGAGAGCAAACCGTCTGAAAAACCTAATTCATTGCTGGATGGTTATCAAACAATCCACTATTTGCTTTTTGCTCTTTCCCTAAATCTGTCAGTGTTTAATATATCTGACATATGTACAGATGATAAGAATGAGATCTTTATTTATTTTTGTAGAAAACACAGCAAGGCAGCTATATTCTCTAAGACTTTTTTGTTGATTATCCTTTTCCAAAAAAAAAAAAAAAGGCTGACAAATAAATGCATCTTCTGATGCAAATCATGTAATTTGCCTTGACACTATTTCTGTCATGACTTCACATCTGTGGCCACCTCACTGGTCAGAGTTTGGGGGTGACAGGTATCACCACTAGGTGGAGTGCTTACAGTCAGGAAGAGTGTAGTAGTATGACCAAGCAACAGTCTATGAGTATGACGTATCAGCGGCGGGGGTTTAGTCCAACCAGCCCAGCACTTTCCTCCCACAACCTTCTTGCCACTTCATCATCTTTTCCTTCTGGTGCAGGGTCTTTTTCAGCACAATCACTGCACAAACACATATACACAAGACATTCTGAGTTTACAAATGACTGACAAAGTGACAAATTATTGCATTTACCTGAAGTAGCAGCCAGACTTGCTCTCTAAGCCCTCAGTGACAGCGCAGTAGATAGAGGTCTGTGCACCCTGCCAGGGAGTTTTCATCAGCAGAATACAGGGCAGAGACAGTATAATCTTCAGCACTGGGAACCGTACCAGAATATGCCTAATCAGCTCTGTTCGAATCACTCCTGGATGCAGGCAGTACGAGGAGACTCCTGTACCTATGAGTATTCATGTAATTGCTTTATTTGTATATGAATATGTCACAAACTAGATTGCACATGGCACATGGCCACAGTATGTGACAAAACCAACCAAGTCGGAACACTAAAACATAGAATACTCTTTACTTTTTGCTCAAAATAAACAAACAACTTTGTTAGTTTATTAATTAGCTTGCAAATTAATTTTTATAGCAAGTTTGCTATACCAAAAACTGCAGTATATTTTACCTTTCATTCTTCGTGCAAGCTCTCTAGAGAAAAGTACATTGGCCAGCTTACTCTGTTTATAGCTGAGCAAAGGACTGTAAGGCCTTTTGTCAAAGAACAGGTCATCAAATTCAATCTTTCCTGTTAGAAAACAGTGACAAATATGGATACATATTGACTCAAAGGTTTCCATCCTTGTGGCATATTTACTTTAACATCTAAACTACTGTTCAAAAGTTTAGGATCAGTAAGATTTTATTTTGTAAAGGAATAAATACTTTTATTTATTATGTATATTTATATTTATTTATTTATTATGTATGTATGTATGTATGTATGTATGTATGTATATATATATATAT